TTGATTGTACTATAATTCTTGGTTCCATGCGGGCATAATTTTAACCAGTTTGTATTTGATGCTTTCGGAATAGAGTTGCGAAAAAAAGTTCTTGCGGTATATTAATATTATGACATTGATGAATTGGATCTATTAATAAATAATTTTCGCGCCACACTACAGATGTAACTTTAACAATAAAAACAAAGGAAAGAGAAACGTCTGATAAGAACATCCATCAAAATATTTTACTACTAAGAATTAGAAATAGTAAAGAAATTTATTATTCAAAAGTTTAGCTTTAAGAAATGAAATAAACAAAAAGAAAAAATGTAAGGATATAATAAAAGATAAAAATAATATAATGAATAAATTTGTTATAGTCTTATCGATTCTTTTAGCATCTTTTCCTTTTCCTTTACAATTGCTACTAGAATCTAAAATTAATTAAATTGAAATAAAAAATACTGTTAGTAATAATTTATGGATAGTAATTTCCAATTAATTAGTATGAACCTTTTTTTACCTTTAAAGCTAGCATAAGAATTTGTATCAAGAATATTCAATGAACTATCATTACTTGTATAACTTTTTAAGCTTATTGATTTAGCAATTTCATCATTTAATATTCTGCTTTTATGATATGCATCTGGATGTGGTTTGTGTGAATTACTACCATTATCACTACCACAACTAATATTACTACTATTATTATTAATATTCAAACTTTCATTTTTATAAATTTCTTTTAATTTATTATTAGCAAAATAATAAAGCTCTCTAGAAGTTGGTCTTTTTGATGGATCCACATCCCAACATTTCTGCATCATTTGCACATAATCATCAGGCATTTCTGGTGATATTTGTGGTCGTACACCTTTACATATATCAATAATTAAATGATGATTATGACTTCTATTATCAAATGGTGGATGGCCTGCAAATATTTCCCACATTAACATCCCAATGCTATAAATATCTATTTCTTTTGTGTTTTTTGTATTCTTTTTGCCTCCAAGTAGTTCAGGTGCAATATATGCTACAATCCCATAGATTTCATTTGATGATTTTTCATCAACTGGCCCACATAATCCTAAATCTGTAATATAACAATTATCTCCTTCCATAAGTATATTACCACTATGTAGATCACAATGTATTAAATCTTTTTCATGTATACGATACAATGATTCACATAAATATCTAAAGATCATCATTCTATTTTTTAATGTTAATTTTGAATGATTTTTTTGTAAATAATCTCTTAAATTTCCTTCTGGTATATAATTAAGAACCATTGCATAATTTTCATTATCTGGGAATTTAGTTATACCATAACAAGGAACAATCATTTGTGATCTAATTTTACAATAATTAATTGCCTGAAAATAAACATAAAATCAATTAATATGGTATATAATATGGTATTATTTATTTTGCTAAAAATAAAATAAAACCAATTACCTCATCAAAAAATGCTTTTGTTGGATTACTTGAATTATTTAAACATTTTAATATTACAACAAAAGCTCCAAAATAACTAAACTCCTTTTCATTTTCATCATAATCAATTATATTTCCCCTTGTCCATGTAGCTTTATAAATTGAACTAAATCCACCTTCAGTTAATTTTGTTACATCTTCAAATTGTTCATAAGGTATCCATTCTAAAATATGGGTTGGCAAAGATGAGAGCATTTGACATTGTTGAATAAACGCATCAACCAAGTTATTACCAGATGTCCAAATGTCAAAAAGACTCTGTAATTGTAAATTAATACAACCTTCACAGAATCTATCAGAGTATTTTATTGATTTACACCTGCTACATTCTTTTGGTTTGCCCCATTTATTTCTTACATTATTTAATTCAAAGTCATAAATATAGCTTTCTCTACAATATTGTTTTTCATTTTCAGCAAGCTCCTTATTTTTTTTGACTAATGAAAAAAAATAATCTTTTTGACTTTCTCCATTATGTGTATTTGCTAAAGCATCATCATACATTCCTCCATGAATGTTATTTACAGAATTCCTTCTTTCTGGTGATAATAATTTCTCGAATGACATTTTTAACTTAATATATTTTAAAAAAAATTTTTTTTATAATTATTTCCTTTTTCTGTCTATCAATAGCAAAGTGTAACAAACAATGATAAAAGGTTTTGAACCCACTCTCTCGTGATAATAACCTTTTGTTATACTAATGAGACTAATGAGGGGTTTAAAACACCAAATTAAAATCGCAGTTTCTTTGTTTTAATTAAATTACTAGTATCTTTTTTATTAGTGTATGAATTTCTTTCGGCGAATCTCCGAAACACACTAATAACTGACAATATAATATATCATGATTATTACGAGCTTTACCATCAAATGGCGGATGACCTGCAAATATTTCCCATCACATTAGCAACCCAACCCGGTTCTTTTGCCTCTAAGTAGCTCGGGTGCAAATATATGACCAACTGGTCTGCGTAATCCTACCTCTTCGGCATTAAATATATATATATTTCTATGAATTAAATCTTTTTCATTCATAGAATATAGTGCGATTCTATCTTTTAATATTAAATACAAATGATTTTTTTGTTCTGGATGATGATTAAGAACCATTGCAAGTTTTCCATTGTCTGGAAATTTCAATAAATATAAAATCAATTAATATGGAAAAATCGCGCGTAAATACACCTACAATAAACAATATTACTATAAGTGCAATAAGTTTGTACATAACATATAGCTAATTATACTTGTCCATATGGCAGCATAAATTGACTTTTTTATTGATCATAAGGTATTCACCCTAAAGGTTCTGTGATTTCGGTTTGGAAGAGATGATTGCATCTGGCATTGTTTAATAAAGTTTATGTCATTACCGGACGCACAAGTAGTGAAAGACTCTGTAAGTATAGGCTAATACATTTTTCACAAAATCTCATTGATTTACAATCTTACTGCTAATATAGATAGCCTTTACGTTCACATTTATTTCCGTGATACAAAATTTTTTATAGATTATCAAAAAATTTTTTGTTCAAAATAATATAATGCCAATTGAAAAATCTTTTCATCACAGAGCTACTCTAAAACAAACAAACAAATCATTCAAGTCTAAACATGCCACTAAAAGCGAATTAAAAGATAAATCGAAAGGTTAATCTAGTATTTTAATTGAAAAAAATGTATAGTAAAAAAATATATTTCTTTAATTCTGAAGGTTCCTTCTCCCCCAACACTACACTTTCTCCAGGTAAAGTCAATAGAGTTAATGTGAAAAAAGCCACCTCTCGCTTAAGAATTTCAACAAAAGTTGATCGTCGAAATGCTGCAAAATTGGAACAACAAAAGAGACGTGAAGAAATAATTAAAACTAATAGATTTTTTGAAGGAAAGCATGGTGCACCCAAAATTGTCGTATGTATAAATAAACAAATAATTCATATATATAAATGTGTTTATTTATTTATTTATAAAGTGCAAGATCAATTAGCTAATTTTTAAAATCATTATTATGATCTAGGCTGTTATCCCATTATGTCCTGATGTTGATGTCTTTTCTGCCGTAGAAAGTATTTATAAGGGTATGGAGAAACCAACACCATCAACAAAAAAAGGAATTGCTTTATTAAAGTAAATATTAATACTTCTGTTTAACTCGATCCAAAATTGAATCAAATTGATTTATTTTTTTCCAATAAACAATGTATTTATCTATATTAACATTTGTTTGATATTAGTGCTGATCGATTTAAACAAAAGATACAATTTATCATGTTGGATCGTAATTTTATTGATATTTTAGATGCTTGTAAAGTCGCTGATTTTACCATGTTTGTACTTTCGGCAGAAGCACAAGTTGATAAATTTGGTGAATTGTGCCTTAAAGCAATTCAATCCCAATGTGTTCCATCCACAATTACAATTGTTCAGGTAGTAATTTATCTGAATTTTCAAATATATAACAAATAAATAAATTATATAAATTTATTTTTATTTTTATTTTTTTAAAAAAAGAATTTAGAGAAAATTTCAGTAAAAAAACGTAATGAAGTGAAAAAATCTCTTTTAAATTTTATTAAACATTACTTTCCTGAAGAAGAAAAAATTCATGTCGTTGATCAACTACAAGTATTAATCTTTTATTTTATTTTTTATTGATTAATTAGTTTTTAATGTTAACATGATTGTTTATTGATAGGAAGCTGTCAATGTACTTCGTACTATCTGCACTCAACATCCTAAACAAGTTTCTTGGAGAAAAAATCACCCATATATGTTAGCAGAAGAAGTTGTATACGAGCAAAATGGTAACGATAATAAGGTACAACAATGTTATATTTAGCATTTTTAATAATGATTTCCTTTTTTTTTAAAGGAAATAAACAATGATAATAATTAATGGTTTAATAGGATCTTGGAACATTAAAAGTCACCGGTTATGTTCGTGGGGTTCCTTTTTCTGCGAATAAATTGGTTCATCTACAAAACTTTGGCGATTTTCAATTACATCAAGTAAGTAAGAGTCTTTGTAAAAATCAATTGGAATTTTAATTATTTGTATTAATATAAAAGTATTATTTATTATTTGATAGATTACTTCCAGTCCAATACAAACTAATGATAGTAGAGATATGGTAAGGATATCTCATGTTCACATATAATTAATCAATAAATTGACCGATTAATTAATGATGAATTTATTTAATAGGCAGAAGATATTAAAATCTTAGAAACTGCTGATCCACAAACTCAGGTATTTATTTATTAATTTTTATATGTGTGTGTATTCAATAGTTATTATATAAATGATAAAAATATATATTTATATTAATATTTTATATATTATAGGAAACACTTGTATCAGAAAATGAACCAAATTTTATGGACAATGAACAAACATGGCCTACTGAAGAAGAGATGGGTGGGAGCAAGAGTAAGAAGAAAAAGAAATATTGTTTTACTACTAATTATTTTATAATCATCAAAATTAATTATATTTCATATAATATATATATTAGCATCAATATCAATTGAAGAACTTCCAGACGCACTTCCTGGTACAACTCCAAAAAGAATTTTAAAACGAGTTCCAAAAGGAACATCAACTTATCAAGCAACTTGGATTGTAGATGCTCAATCAGAAGAAGAAGATTTTTACGATGATGAAGAAGATGATAATATGGAAGTTGAAGGTATGGAAAATGAATTGGAAAATAATACAGGATCACATTTGACGAATTTTGGGGATGAAGATGAATATGAATATGATGAGATAGAAATGGACAAGAAGTTAAATTTGTCCAATCAATTAGAATCTGATGAAGAAGATAAACAGTATGATTATTTATTAAATTTTTTAAAAGGATAAAACGTAGTAATTTATTTAATTTAATCTAATTTAATTAACTTAATAAATAAAAGATTAAAAGAATATATATCCAAAAGAGAAAAACAACATAAAGATGACCTTGAATTTCCTGACGAGGTGGATACACCATTAGACGTACCTGCAAAAATTAGGTTTCAAAAATATCGTGGTTTACAAAGTTTTCGTACATCACCATGGGATCCATATGAAAATTTGCCAATTGATTATTCTAGAATCTTTCAATTTGAACATTATAAAAGAACAAAATCTAGAATTTTGAATCAGTTTATAGTTGGTGATGGTGTTAAGGTATTTATTTATTTTGTCTACTTTTTTATAATAGTATTATTTTTTATTGATTAATTTGACTCTTTTAATATCTATTTAAAGTTAGGTGCACATATAACTTTACATATTTCTAATGTTAAAAAAGAAGTTGCAGGTATCAATTTATTTATAATTGTTTTTAATATAATAAAATAAATTTATGATTTAAACATATGATCTATTTATTCTAATTGCTTAACACCTTTTAAAATTTAAAAAGATCATTATGATCCATCAAGACCATTTATCGTGTTTGGATTACTCGAGTATGAGCACAAAATTTCCGTTGTAAATTTTTCTATCACAAGGAATAATGAATATAAAGGAACAATCAAATCCAAGGTATATAAAAAACTTTAATGATTTTGGAATCACAATATTATAAATTTCTTAATTTTAAATTTTACGTTGTTGTTTAGGATGATTTAATACTACAATGTGGGTTTCGTAGATACGTTGTTAAACCGATATATTCGCAGAATACACAAGGTAGAAAATCTACCAATAATGTTCATAAATTTGAGAAATTTTTAAATCCGGGAAGAACTTGTATCGCTACCATATACGGACCTATTCAATTTGGAAATTTGCCTGTTACACTTTATAAAGAACTTGCCTATACTAATGGTCAGCTAGTCGCATTAATAGTAATTTTTTTCTTTTCATTTTTAAAAATAAATAAATTAATATTATTATGTTTTCTTTCCTTATCCAAATTATTATCAAATAGTACCAATGATGGTAGCCACAGGATCATTTTTGAATGTAGATCCAACACGTATAATCGCTAAACGTATTATACTTACGGGTCATCCATTCAAAGTACATAAGAAATCTGCGGTTGTACGTTACATGTTTTTCAATCCCGGTAAGAATTAAACATTTTATATAATAATAATAAATAATAATAATAATAATATGATAATAATAATAACAACATTATTATTATTATTTTATTATGATAGATGATGTGGATTGGTTTAAACCTGTTCAAATGACAACAAAATATGGACGCATTGGACATATTAAAGAATCATTGGGTACCCATGGATACATGAAATGTATATTTGATTCACCTATTACACAACAAGACACTGTGATGATGAACCTTTATAAACGTGTCTATCCGAAATGGGATACTACAAAAATTTGGAATAGTAGATTGAAAGATGAATTTATTATCAGTAATGATAACAATGATAATGATAATAATGTGAAAAGAGTTGAAATGGAAATTTAAATGGGAAATTTGATATCATTAAATAAATATTTATCATTTATTTAATATCTATTAATATATATATTTTTAAAATTATTATTAACATATACTTATTTATGTAAATTATAAAAAAAAAAAATAAAATAAATAAATATACTATATATTTATTATTACTATACACATTGTGTATAAATACAATTTGAATAAATAAATAAAAAAACCATAAATTCTTCAAATTTCGAATGATTCTTGATGATGTAAAGATCCTTTAGGAACTATTAAAGGATGAAGTTGTGCCAGATAAGTGATGGCCCACCTATATATCATTCATTAATTATTATTATTAGTCAATTAGTTCAATCATTTTTTATTTTTTTAAAAAATTGCAAACTTACATTAAATAACAACAAATTAAAGACAATATTAAACAAGTTCTTGTTGTACTAAATAATAATAATTAAAATAATTTAATTGAAATCATTTAAAAAAACCTTCCTTCCTTCCTTTCTTCACTAATTCAAAACATTTACTTACGTCTGGTTTTGTCCTTTTGGAACTATGACATAAGAAACGAACACTCCTCCTGACACGCCTAAACCTATCCATATAATGTTTAAACCACTCATATTTTATAATTATTATTCTTTTTTTCCCAAGAAAAAATTTAATAAAACAATTAATTTAAAATAAAATAAGAGAGATTAGATCAAACTAAAATCTGTTTGTTACACCTTATAAATGCAAGGAAATCAAAATTTAGTGTAATAATAATATGTGATGATTTCTAAAAAGGATTACATTTATTTTTTACTTTCTGAAGGAGCCAAAACTTTCTCAAAGAAATATAGTTTATTAGATGATAATAATAATAACCAATCAAAAAGATAACGGAAACCAAAAAATAAAAATACATATATGAATATCCTTCCTTATATTTTCTTGCTGAGAGCAAAACAAAGGCTTTATTATTATTATTATTATTATTGGAATTGGCCTTGCGAGGCAGCCTTTTGGTTAACTTCAATTATTATTTTTACTTTTATGACTCTCGAGTTCGAATTAACTTTGGCTTTTGTCGATTAATTACAAGCAAATTGTGCTTTGCGCTCGTCAATTATTTATTTTATGGATTTATTTATCAACTTACTTTGGTTCTTTTGCTTACTGTCTCTTTCATGTAACTAAAAAGCTTTGGCGAATCTGTAAGCACACACAGTATGGTCCAAATAATTATGTCCCGATTTATTTCAGTGGTTTATACTGCAAACTTTTGTTAATTTGGTTTATTTACAAAACATGTATGTTTTTATAATAGCTCTTTAATGCTTTACAATACAATAATACTGGCTGTTTTTATTATATACAGCCAAAGTGTTTCCGATTTATTTCAGATTTATACATTATTACTTGGTAAATAACTGTTAACTCCCTTATACCAGGCCAATCAGTCTTCACACTACGTTTTCACTTGAACATTTAACAAATAAGAACTTCAACACTAACACTTGGTTACTCACTAAATCAAATAACGTCGTCATTAATTGTTGTTAACGCTCAACAGTTATCCAACGTTACTCACTAAAGCAAATAAACGTGGCCTTTTACCAAAGCTTTACAATTTACCAAGGTACTACAATTGCTGCGTTTTATCAAAAAAAGTTTATTTTACAATTATTTTTAAAAAGATACAAAAATTTTTATTTTATTTAGAATACTAATGTGGTGGTATTTGTGCTCTTTCAAGCGAAGACCCAAAGTTTCTGGAAAACTTTTATAGATCATTTTAATAAGTTTTACATATAAATAAAAAAATTAAGATTTATATATATAGGAATATCAGAAATACTTAATTTCTAGAGTGAAGAACAAAGAACAAAATTAACATAAATAATAATACATACAACTTATTTGTTCTTTATTATATTTTAGTGCAATTTTTTCGCATTACAATTGATTGAGGTAATCAACTCAAACCCACTCATATAAAATTAAACAATCTATTTTGTCACAACCAGCTTCTTCATGATTTGAAGCTGCTCATTACAAGTCATTGAATTTGGAATATGAATTGCGCTTAAAAGACGATAATGAAACTGCTAATGTATATATGTAAGTAAACTAAAATTTGTTTTTTTTGATCCCAGTTATTGTTGATCATTCCTTTTTATAATATTAATAAATTATGTAAAAAGTCATGTTGTATACAAAAAAAAAACAAAAACCACTTTTGAAACCAACTTTAAACAAAAACTCTTATCCATTACTATATAAATTAGAAAAATGTTGTTTATTGAATCAACAATGAAATTGCAAATTGGAATTATAAATATAAATATAAGATAACAAAAGAAGATGAAGTAATTTATATTGCCAAAAAACTAAATAAACTGCTAGAACAATATAAATTACACCTGCATGTTCTTTACATTATTATTTTTTCATTTCAAACTCCGGAATTATTTCTTCTGTCATAAAATGAAAATCAACAGTTAATATTTTCAAAAAATAACAATATTGACTGTAAAATAATAAGAATACCTGCCATCTATTTATTATTTAAAATAAAATGAAAATCAGCAGTTAATATTTTTTCAAAACCAATGATCTTGACTGTAATAATAATGATGATAATGAAAATACTTGCAGCCTATTTATAATGATGATAATGAAAATACTTGCAAGCCTATTTATCATTTAAAATAAAATGAATTAACAGTTTCAACAGCCTATTTATTATTTAATCAGCAGTTAATATTTTTTCATCTTGACTGTAATAATAATGATGATGATGATGATACTTACAACCTATTTATTAT